TGAACCCTCAAAAATGAAATTCCTATTTTGTGACCTCGACTGCCGCCGATCGTTGCACGGTGGCGGAAATGACAAAAAAGCTGGATGAACCCTCAAAAATGAAATTCCTATTTTGTGACTTCGACTGCCACCGATCGTTGCACGGCGGCGGAAATGACAAAAAAACTGGCCAAAACCTCAAAAATTAAAATTGTGTTTGGGACCACGACTGCCGCCGATCGTTGCACGGTGGCGGAAATGAAAAAAAAAGCTGGACAAAACCTCAAAAATTAAAATTGTGGTAAAGAAATTGTGTCAAAACACCAAAAATTAAAATTATTTCAGTACAGCGTTCTTTGGCTAATTTTTCACTCGTTCATCCTCCCCCTGAATAATGAAAAATTTACAATAAAACTGATCAAATATATTATTAAGGTACAATATATTATAAGGTACGAATAATTACATTCAGGCGGACAAATAATTCTGGCCAGGTTTTCTGTCATTTTCGCTCGTTCGAGGGACCTCCGAGAGCCATCGAGTGGACGAAAGTCATCATCCTCGTCGGTCGTCGCCGACGAGGAGCGTCACCGAGGGTCCCACTTCCTCGCCCACGAGGAGGAACTCGCGCCTCCTCTCTCCGTAGGACGATTCGCCGATTCCTCGAGAAACGCGTCCTTGCGAACAATACGGGATACACATTGATACGTGACATTAATGCGAGTATCGAAACGACTTCGATTTCCGTTTTTACGTTTCTTAGCGATAACCGAGCCGCGGCGATCGGACGAATGAGAAATTCAGTAATTGAAACATATTATATCGATGAGGGTGTCGTTACGTGACATTATACGACTCGTAATCGGCCACCTTGAGACAATTTTCATTGTTATGTTCATTTTGATAAGGGGCCGAGGAAGGGGAAGAAGGGGAAATAAAGGAGAGCATGATCGTACGAATTAATCTCGGTTATTGGACCATGTATCGAGGAATACCGGCTCGGCCATTTCCGCCTTTACGGCCCCGAATAATAATCCGCGATAAACCACGCCTGATAAAAGGCCGATCGCCACCGAGGAAACGCAACTGCGAGCGATCCTAATTAATTATTCCTTTGGGCGCTTTCACCGGGCCAGACCAATTCCCTAAAATCGAGGGCAACGCGACGCCGTGACCTCGCGCGATTAACCTTACTTTACCGCGGCTACGAGCGCGTCCACGGCCCCTCGACCGGCGATTAATTCCACGGAGAAAAATGAGGGAATAATCGATTCCCGTTTCATCTCAGGGCGAGTGGACGCGCTATCCGGAGAGGCCGAGGCGCGTGTGGGTGCCGGTCTCGAGCAGCAGGTAGCGTCGACACGAAAAATCGAAACGAGCTGCGAACGGGCGCAGCTGGGGAGGCAGGAATGTGGGTTAGGCCACCTCTAGGTGGGCCCGCTCCAATTATCAATTAATTCCTGAATAACGGTCGAACTCGTGCGACATCGCTCCGGTCAAGGCGCCTCCAGGAAAACTGGACCAGCCGAGGAATTAACCCAGGAGATCACGGATTTCAACGCTTGGAAATCGCAATTAGACATCACTGGAAATCGGCAAAACCCTGCCCAATTTCCAGCCGACCGCCACTTGTCATCGAATCCCATTGTTGCACGTCATATGAAATCAAATGCAATAGGTTCTTGAAGAAGGAAATGATTTTCCCTAATTTCCAACTGAACAGCCCCTTCCCGCGGATCTTCCTCGGGTTTCTTGCACCCACCCCGGAGAATCGCGACTTGCGGAGCGACTTGTTGGATTATTACACCACGTGATCGCCAGAGCTCGTTAACTCCTGGTTAGCGTTAAATCCTAAAATGTGGACGCCGTCCGCGAGCCGCCAGGAGAGATTTCCCTGTATTTCGGGGCCCCAGGGTGGAGGATCCCCTTAAACGGAAGGAGGATCGGGGTTTGGGGGGGAACGGAGACGGATCCCTGGAAGAGAGCCGAGTCACCGACGTAAATTGAGACGAAGCCTTCGAGGGGAAAAGCTCGCTCGAGGGCCGAAGGGTTAATAACACGTGGACGTTTATCCGGGAGGATGCATCGATAGATAATGCATCGGGGACTGGATCGCCAGGTCGAGCGGGACGAGCGCCGGCTTCGACGGAAAGACTGGCGAAAAGTGTTCGCGATTGAGCGAGAGGACGCTCCCGTCTGGTGGGAAATGTCTCGTCCTCCTTCCTTCCCGCTTCTCCCGTTCGCCCCGATTCCATCCCGTCGGAAGCCTCCGCTCGAAGGGCGCCGACGTTTTCCGCGAGGTTCGTACGTCCTCCGCAGGCATAAAGAATAGGACGTGTGCGCTTTCGCGCACACGTGCGTCCGTCATTTGTCATTTGACGTTCTTCCGTCTTCGCTTTTTAATTCGTCCATCGAGCCGGGCGCCGCCGGGGCGAAGGGCGAGATGGAGGCCTCTCCTCTGCCGAAGGGAGGTGCGGAAGGAAGAGAGGAACGCTTGCTCTCGAGGTCTCGAAAAACCGAAGGAGAGAGGGAGGGAGAGAAGGAAAAAGGGACCGAGAGGGAGAATCGCGTACGGTTCGTCATAAGAGGAATTCCTTTGGCGATACCACTGTCCCCCTCCTTCCCCCGCCGACTCCTTCTCCTCCCTCTCGTTCCTCTTCTTCTTCTTTCCTCTGGCCCAGAGACCTCGTGCTTTTTTACTGGTTTATGGGATTTTTTTCACGCGCACCGTCGAGTCGTACATCAGAGGGGGCTGACTGACTCTCCTCTTTCTCCTTCTGTCTCTTTCTCTCGCCCTTCCCCACCGACGCGGTCGGGAGAGGGCCAATAAAAAAGGAAGCAAATGCTCGCCGCCCATAAAAACAACCGAAAGTATTAAAAACTTAAAGCCTTTTACTGCCCGGTGCCCCCGAGAGGTTCGCCAAGAGGTTCTCGATTTCGGGCCCTTTCCGCCGGAATCCACCCTCGGCTCGCGCAGGAGTAGAACGCGCCGTTCCCGGTCGTCCCGGTGTCGAGCAAACACCTCCAGGAGGACAATCATCCGAGTCCAGGTTTCGGGATCGCGAGCGCCGCGGAATCGGCGCGGAATAGCCGGCCAAGGCCGGCGGCTAGAGTTGTAAATCCGCGAGGATTCTTTAATCTCGGTAAACCACCCCTCCCCCGTCGGCGGGCCGGGCCGCTTTTACCTCTCGGACCCCGTAGTAAATCTCGCGGACAAACAATCATAATTTTGCGAAGAGCTAACAAAAACAAGAGAGACTCTTTAAAGGGAGCCGATGCCAGTCCGCATGAAATGCGGCCGCCTCCGCGCCTTCAATTGTTTCGAGGTTTTCTTCTCCTCTCCTCTTCGTGCATCCGCTCCCCCTGCCCCTAACCACCTCCGATTCTGTCGATTCCTCTTTTCCTCCCGCAGGCTTCTTTCTCCGTATCTCCCATTCCGCTCCTTCGCGCCCTTCTTCTCGCCCGTCCCCTTTGAGGTCCTCGTCCCCTCCCGCGCGGTTCCTCGCTTCCGCGTCCGCGTCCGCGCGTCTTCGTCCAACTCGCCTCGGCGACTTTCTCGGACCGTTTTCCCTCCCCATAGGCGGTCGCGATCACGGCGCGGAGAAATCTCCGGGGAAACGTTCGCCATTAGACTTTTTCCCCGAAGATCCCGTCACTGTCGGCAGGCTACGGTTTCGCGGTTTCCCCGCGTCTAGGAAGCGGCTCCTCGCGCTTGCTACGAAAGAGGATACTCGGAGGAATGCCAGGACCGGGGTAGAGCGCTCGACCGATCGAGAGATTAATGGGAAACCGGGATTTTTCCACGGGGGCACGTAACGCTCAAATGCCGGGACGGATCGATCGATCGGCCCGATCGATCCAGCGGGCCGATCGGGAAAGGGCGAAGTGCGATCCTCCAACGGAGGGGGGGACGCGCGGAATTTCTGCGGTCGGGCCAAGCGCGTTTCCTAGATGGAAATGGATACGGGGATCGAGCAGTTGCGGCGTGTCTCAGGAGTGCAGGACACTCTACGGTCCGGCGAGGTGGCGGCCGGACCGGCGGCGAACCGCCCTTGAGAAGAAGACCGGAACGCGCGCCGGAAGCGCGAGCTCCGGTCCGGACGACGCTCTCCTACCTCGACGGGAGACCGCGCCGAACTTCCAGGGGCTGTCCCCGACCTTCGACCTCGGCGCCTCGACCTTGCAGCGATCTTCCAGGAACTACCGGAAAGACCGGATCGGTCGGATCCGGATAACGAAAACTCGGCGCCATTCTCTCGGGAGCGTCGCTCATCTCAAATTCCACGAGGGCTCCCGGTAGTTTCCGGCAGACCCCGGCGACCGATCGATACGGAAGACGCCGATTCGTGCAAAAGCAGTTGCGTAGGAGATCCTGAGAATTGCCGAGGGACTTTCGCGCCCCCGTAATGAAAACGTTATAGAGCGAAGTCGCGTCGGCCTTTGTTACCCGAGGTTGGCGTCGAGGGACGCGTTTAAAGGACCGCGACGCGAGTAGCCGACCGAGGACGCGCTCCGGGCTCGGAGGGAGATTACCCCGACGCCGTCGGAACGCGTTCAAGACAGGCCTAGTTGCGGGGGAATTCCGCGCGTCCGGACCCTCCGTACCGTTTACCCCCTAACCGGACGCGTCTCGACTTTTGAGTCCCTCTTCCCGACGTCCTGCGTCGACGATTTCGTTCGAATCCCAGTACCGATCGATCAAACTCTCGACCGACTCTAGTGCTTTTCGACGGCCCCGAGGACTCGTCGCCGAGAATCCGTCCAGCGTCCGTTACCGCCGCGCAGCTTCCGGTGCCCCGGCGATCACCCTCGATCGAGGGAAGAAACGCTCGCGGGAGGGAATCGGGGAACCGGTGCGATCTCGAAAGACCGAAAGATCCAGGGACGAGGTTTGTAACCACGCCTTCCCTGCGTCCTCCGCCAACCGGGAGCCCGGGGATGATCGGAGATAACCCCATCGGCCAATTAACGGCGTCCCTTCCGGGTGCCACCCCCGAAGTCCCGGACCCTCGTCCGATTACCTGGGTCCGAGGTCCATCCGTACGCGTCCAAGTCCTCAGGGAACCGGTGGCGTTCCTCGCAGGTGTCGGGGAAGTATCCACGGGTCCCGCGATGTCCAACGGCGTCCAGCGACGCGCACACCCCCCCGTCCCCCGGTCACTGTTTGACGCGAGCTCGCGGCGCCGCGACCACCGGCAGCCACCGGGCCGGGCCCATGACCGCGAGAGTCCCAGTGCCGGCTCCGGCTCCGGCTCCGGCTCCGGCGCGGGTCCCGCCGGACCCGGTGGGGTCGGGTGGGGGCGGATCCGACCGACTTCCGCGCTGCGCGATCGGCACCCGAACGCCGTGAGCGCGCATGCGCGCCCACAGCCTGCACGCGCACCTTCGGCGGATCTCTTCGTGGGGAGCGATGCGTGGCTGGCTGCGCGCCGTGTGTTTACCGCCCGGCCGGATCAGTGGGCAACGGGTGCGCGTGGCTCGGCGGGCGCGAGATGACTGAACCCCGCCGCGCGTTAGCATGCCGTGGAGTCGGCAGTGCCAGGGGTGGCGCGGTGGAGCCGGGACCGCCGGGGACCGGAGAGAGAGGGGGAGCGACCGAGCGAGCGACCGTCTCTCTCCGTCGGGCGCACGCACGCGGCGACCGCCCCACTCGTCCGCGCGGCCTCCCCTCCGCCGTTCTCGCCACCACCACCGCCGCCGACGCCGACGCCGACGCCGCCGCCGCCGTGCTCCTCGCTCGGTCTCGCTCGCTCTCATTCGCTCACCGAAACCCGCGGAGATCGCCTCGGTTTTTACCGGCCGAGGCCGGTGCGGCGTCGCGCCCCGACCACGTGCACCGCGCCGGTCGAGGCCCTGCCCGACCTGGACCTCATCTCCCGTCCCCCGATTTACATTAACCGCGACGATTGAAATTTGGGAAATGGTCAAGTCCCGCTCGCGCGGGGGCACGATTGGACGCGCGCTCACCTGGGCGCTTCGTCCGGAAGAGGGGGTGGCGAGCGAGTGGGACGCTCCTCGAGATTGCGGGGTGCGGACCGGGGGCTTAACGACCTCCGTGGTTACCAACGGGGGAGACGATGCCGCCTCGTTTGGTTGCTCTCGTCTCGCGACTCGGGGCTTGCCGACGCGGGAGGATGTAATCGCCGTTTAACGGCTCGGCGGATTTTTCTCCGGAATTGTCATCGGACGCTTCCTCGACCCGCGCCGAAATCTTAACGCGACCGCTGGGAAAAAGTATCATCCGTTTGTTCCAAGCGACAGGAATTAATTGCTATCGAGACGTGGTCTAACGAGTGGTATCCTTGTCGATTCGTGACGTATGTATAGGTATCGGATCGAAATCGTGCGGAGACTTCAACGCCCTGCGCCCTCGGGATGCAGCGCCTCACCTGGGGCGTCGACCGAAGGACCACCCTGCCATCGCTCCGGATAAGTCTCATCGGAAGGGTGACTTTCTGGTAGAGGAGGATTGAACAAGTTCCGCCGACCAATGGGAATGATTTAATCACCATAGAAACGTCATTAATTTTCCTCGTCATTAATTGAGCCAATTGAAATATGAATTATTGGCTAACACGTGACGGCATATCGAGGTGGCGGCCCAATCGAGCGGTACCTTCGGGGCGACAGCGGGCAGGGCCCCTGAAAACGTCATGGCCCTTGTCCTAAATGCACCGCGACTTCCGGTAACCCTTCGGCGTCCCGTTAGGTTTCTCTAGGTCCCAGTTGGGTAATTTTCGAAATTTGGAATGTGGGAAAATCCGGCAACCCGTTAAAGGACGATCCCTCTTTCTCCGGCTTAGGGGTAAAGGGTTAAAGCGCTCGGAAATGGGTCAGATTAGGGCCCGCGTTCCCGGTCCCTTAAGGACCCCTTTAGCCGCAATAAAATATCGCGTTTCGGTAGCTTTAAAGGCGCTTCCGCTTGCGTTTTACGTAATACGAGGACAAATTTCCTAGGGTGAGGCTACACTCCCCAGGATAGGTGTCGGATTCCCTCTAAGCCGGGGAAGGGCCTCGGTGAGCCCGAGAGATCCGCGCCGGATTCTGCGGGATTTTCGGAAAAGGGCTTTTCATTGACAAAACGTGGCTTCGGCGGTGGGAACAGGTCCCCGGAGCCCTTACGTAACGGGCTGCTTTTTGGGGACGAATCAAAAGACCTCCTATCCCCCGATATTTCCCTCCAGGAGCTGGACCGGTACCTTGACCCAGGCCTGGAATCCTGAGTCGAAAGGATGGCCTTTCGTTGGCCCTTGTTGGAAATTTCATAAACGGCTCCGATCTTCCATTCGCATCCTGACTGGGAACGAAGTAGCCGAAACGGATGCGGATATGCTATCACCTGGAGGTATCGCTCAGGTATCGACCAAGTAAAGGGAAAGCCGCGTTTTAGATTTATTTCGGAGACAACTGATAAGAGTGCCAACTAATGATAACATAAACGTACTTCTTTGTCTTCGGGAAAACGTATCTAGTTATCGGAGAGCTTGGGATATCCTAATACCCCTTTAGCTCGAAGACGCGTTCCGCGAGCGAGGGTCGACTACTTTAGGGAAACTCGGAGGAGCGGTCTATCCTAAAATACCCCGGGGGCAGAAATATTAATTTTTTATCTAACTCGAACCACATGGCACATAGGTACTCATCTTCCAGGCTCGAGAGCGAGCTGTCAGAAGAGGGAGACAGAGGGTGGGTATTTTTGGAGACCGGTTTCCGGGGTGGTCCCGACACCGTTCCACCGACGAGCGGAAAAGGGTTGCCGCTCTCGGTTCTCTCCCTCGTTTCCGCATCCGAGCAAGGAACCGTCTACCCTTTCCCGACCGAACGAACCCATGGGACCCGGCGGTCCCGACGCGTAGTCCCGATATCAGGGCCGTCGAATCACAGCTGGCTGGTAGGGCTCCGTTCCCGAAGGACGATCTCGCCTTCCCGAGTTCCCAAGGACCTCCACCGATCCACCGGTCGAGGATGCGAGCCGCGAAAGTGCCCAACACTTGAGCTCCCGACTCGCCAAGGTGCAAGACCAGCGAAGGAAAATCATCCTAAGGAAATGGCAGGGTCCATCGGGAAAATCCGGGGCTGTCTATGGGAAAAATCAACCTAGGCACCGTCCTCGGAAGCTCTCGGAGCATCGAGGAACGCGATCGCGAGTGCGTTTACGTTGGGCAGCGACGATGCGTGCGCGGGTAAGCGTGTGTACGCGGCATGCGTTGACCGGCATATACTCGTCCGACATGGAATGTGGTCTGCCGGGCACATATAGCTCGCTATAGTTCCGCATTTTTACAGCTTTATAATGCATTAGGTATAATGGCCTGTACGCACTTAATGGAGTATAGAGTTCGTTACAGTATGCTACGTCGTGGGTGGACGCCGGCCGGCCGGTCGGTAGGTTGCCAGATAGATACACTCCCGACCGGTACCAGGTTCGCATATTGTAATTACATGAATTATTTCATTTTATGTTGCGGATCCGTTCCGCCTAAGGCGAACCTCCCAGCCGGCCACCCCCGTACCCGGGAACCTCCGGACGTTTAGCGGAATGAAATCATGCCTCCATCGGTACCAGCGATGGACCGATGCGTCGTCCTCTGGTGCTTCGACTTCCTCCGTGTCCATCGAGTCGATCCGGACCAACCGATGGCGAGAGGACGTCGGTTTCGAGGGTCCGGAACGTCCGGAAATTCTCGGTGGAGGGCACCATCGCCGCGGTCCCCGAAAAACCGTACCACGCGCACGCCCCCACGGGAGAGAGCACACGCACGGTCACTTACTGAAATATCCAGTGGCCCGTGTGCTTACGCGCGGACCTACGCGTGTGCGCGTTCGTTAAGACTGGTTTTCAATATGACTCATGCGTGTGTTCCGCGCCGATCGTATGGGTGCGCTCGTATATCAAAACCAGTAGGCACCCCCGACATTGCGATCGTTCGTGCGCGAGCTGCGCGCGCACACCCGGCCATGTGGGTACTCGAACGAGAGCGCACGAGTATCCGAGCTCATTCTACCGGCGTGTCTTTCATTTTTGCAGACTACCTTAAGTCTAAGTCGTTCTATTTAAGCGAGCACTCGGAATTAAGTAACAAGGCGCTGTCTTTCAGCGCCACATCCGCCTCGCGGAGAGAAAGAGGCCTCTCCCTCCGCCTCGACGCTCCTTTATCGGCACCTTCCAAACGGAAGTGCGCCGACACGCAAATTGACGAAAAAGATAAGAACCCACGGACGATTCGCAGACAGCCCTCGAGGATTCTCGACGGGATTATCGACGATCGCCTTTTTTTAGAAATCCCTCTTCTACTCGCCATACATCACTCACGTGTGACGAACGCTTCCCCCATCGGTCGGTACCCAAATGAAACAGATTTTCTATTTCTAGACTGCGTTAACCATCGCCTCGGGATTTTTCGTTTAAACAGGGCACACGGAATAATTGGAAACTCCACCATGTGATTATGCAGGCCCTAAGGGAGAACGCGAGGCTCGTGGAATTTCATCTTTCAAAGAAAAATTTCAGAAATATATTAATAAATGAAAAATATATGTAGTGACCCTTTACTATCACCTTAACGCGTACAGTTTCATCCATCCGTCCATCTCGTATATCTAACGGTGAAGCTTGCCCCGGGCCAACGGCCTCGATTTCCTTAATTATCGCAGAATTTTGCGAAAGCACTCCCCGCCGTCTATCGGCTGTTCGATGGCCAGGTGCTAATTATTTTCAACCGAGATGACTGGATGGAATCTCCCCGGAGTTCGAGTCCTAACGGTCCACGTGGCTGCGGGCCAGTATCCCTCATTTGAACAATTGGCCGGGACTTTGCAGAGCGTCGCTGAATTATTCTTTTCTCTTCTGCAAGACGCGCCCTCTCCGTCCTGATCGAGTCGCGAAACGGGCCGGCTCCCACTTGGTCCGGGTCGCCGCGATCGGCGCGGAAGTGGGTTCATCGAGGACCGGTTAACGAGGTGCGAAGGCGACCTGCCCCGAGCAATTTCGAGTGGGAAATGGATTCGAGATACGCGGTCCTTATCCCTCTCGGGGACCGGGACCGGAGCCGACCAGGCCGAGGCTTTTCGATCCCGTCTCTGTCACGCTCCAACGGGGTACCCCGGCACTCCGGAGGATATGTGCTCGCTAGGTCGGTATGCGAGTATTATATGTCTCGTGGAAACGGGATATCCCCGAGTGACTCGGCAAACAATCGACACGGGACCCACCGGAGTAGAGTCCGGTACCGATCTCTACAAAGTAAGGACCGTTAAATCGATTCCCACGCTCGCGAATCTACGCAGGACTATCGACAGCGATTCGGCAGACCTGGAAGCCATGCCGTGGCGTTTGCTTTTGAAATATCTCCCTTACAGACACTTCCTACCTTGGCTGACCAATTAAGGCGATGTGAAAGTGACGTCGAAGAGGTTTTGTTTATAAAACTCTTCTCCCAACTCGGTCTACCGGATTGTTTGGAACGTTAC